CTCAGCTTAGCAGTGATGTTGGGAGAGCTTCACTTGTTTCCATCTACACAGATTTTGCTGTCTTGATTTTTGTGTATCTCAGAGTTTTTTTTTTTGTCTCACTTTGTTGCCCTCGGTAGAGTGCCATGGCGGCACACAGCTAACAGCAACCTCCCAACTCCTGGGCTGGGGCAATTCTCTTGCCTCAGCCTCCCAGGTAGCTGGGACTACAGGCACCCGCCACAACGCCCGGCTATTTTTTTGTTGCAGTTTGGCCGGGGCTGGGTTTGAATCCACGACCCTCAGTATATGGGGCTGGCACCCTACTCACTGAGCCATAGGCACTGCCCTCAGAATTTTTGTTATGACCCATGTACAGATGAATAAAGACAATACAAGTAAATCTAAAATTCATTTGGCAGAGACCAGCTCAGAGAGGAAAGCAAACGGAGAAATTGGGGCAGCTATTCACTAGAACCAACTTCCAAAAGGGGAGACGGGGTTATAGGGGGTCACAGTGCTGGTGTGAAGTGAAATTTCACACCCAGGGTTCCTGGCAGTTGTTTGAATTCAGCAGAAAGCACATTTATCAACCACATTGTTTCTTATACCGTTTTTTTCACAGTTGTTATAATCACACTTAACACATTAACTGCCACATGAGTCATGAACTGTTTTCAAATCACCTTTTACATTACTAATTTTCAGGTTTTAATATTACTGTATTATTTATTTTATTCATTTATTTATTAGAGATAAGAGCCTCACTTTGTTGCCCTCGGTGGAGTGCTGTGGTGTCACAGCTCACAGCAATCTCCAACTCCTGGGCTTAGGCAATTCTCTGGCCTCAGCCTCCTGAATAGCTGGGACTGCAGGTGCCCACCACAATGCCCCCCTATTTTTTGTTGCAGTTTGGCCAGGGCTGGGTTGGAACCCACCACCCTCAGTATATGGGGCCGGCGCCCTACTCACTGAGCCACAGGTGCCGCCCCTATTAGTTCATTTATTTTTTTGGCAGCAGTCTCAGTCTTTCACCCTGGGTAAAAAGTCTTTTCACCATGGCATCACAGGTCACAGCAACCTCAAACTCTTAGGCTCAGGTGATCCTCTTGCCTCAGGCTCCTGAGTAGCTGGGACTACAGGTGCTCACTGTAACACTCATTCAATTTTTTTCTATTTTTTTTTAATAGAGAAGGCTCTTGTTCTTGCTCAGGCTGTTGAATTACTTAGCTCAAGCAATCCACCCGCTTTGGCCTCCCAGAGTGTTAGGATTACAGGTGTAAGCCCCCACACCCAGCCTACATTACTTGTTTATTGATGTATGTTTTAAGAATTATTCTGTTTTGGAAGTTACTGTTTTTCGTAATAAATACCATGACCCTAAAGAAACATTTTCCTTTTTTGTGTGTGGCAGTCACTGTGTTAGTCCTTATTTCTAGTGGTTTTAGTGAATAGCCATCTTTTTAAAGGTGATTATCATAAAAAGTGACCAACATCTGGTTTCCCAGTGTTTCAGTGTGGAACCACATGCAAAAAGTTACACAAATATTTTTGCTAAATAACTCTGTAAATATATTCCTTAACTGTATAAATTTAAGATTAAAAAATGTGGTACATAAGATGTGGCATGGTGGTTACCACGCCAACCACATACACCAAGGGTGGTGGGTTCAAACCCGGCCCAGGCCCGCTAAAAACAACCATGACAACAGCAACAAAAAATCACCAGGCATTGTGGCGGGCGCCTGTAGTCCCACCTACTTGGGAGACTGAGGCAAGAGAATGCTTAAGCCCAAGAGTTTGAGGTTGCTGTGAGCTATGACGCCACAGTACTCTACCAAGGGCGATAAAGTGAGACTATGTCTCAAAAAAAAAAAAAAAAGCCATTTGGTAGAATTGGCTTCCTGATGGTTAAGGGGAGACACTATTAGTGCTGCCCAGTTTCTCTTTTGTGTTTGAAGAAGGCACCTCCCATTTCCCTGTGTCACTGATCTCCAGTGGCTGAGAGCAGCCTGCAGCTCCTCCCTTCCTTGTAAGGTGAACAACCATCTTCGAGGTGTCCATCACTTGACGTTTCTTCTCTTGAGGAGAGATATTCATGGGTGCCCCTGTCGTCGCAATCCTTCACCATTTTTACTTCTTGCTATTTACCTCACCTGTGGAATTCTTGGGATATTTATCATCTGTATTTATCTCCAATTTAGTAATGTATTACATTTAGTTATGTGCTATCTTTTTATACATACTGTTCTTATTTCCTTGATTTAAGCTTCTTTAGGGCAGGAATGATATTTTAATTTCCTTCATCTCCTGTAGTAGATTAGTAAACTTGTATATTTAGCTAGAATTTCTACCTGGCACTGCCTGCATATGTTGTTAAAATTATTAATAACTATCCATATTTGTCTTAATGCTTCCATGTGAATAAAAAATTTGTATCTTTTTATGACTGTTGGGGTTCATATGACTAGAATAATACCACGTTTCATCTGACCCTGCCGACATTCCGAGGCGTCTCTGACATAGCCTCTCTGCGTGTGGAGTTGTTAAGAGCTCTCTCTATTACAGCTCTATCACCTCCAGACCAACAAGTGTCTGGTGGCCCAAGGGCGCCCAAGTCAGAAGGGAGGCCTGGTGGTGCTTAAGGCCTGTGACTACGGTGACCCAAATCAGGTGAGTGAGACCTCTGTGCCCACAGCTAGCCCTGGGAATGTGGCTGCAGAGAAGAGAGCAGATGCCACTGCAGTCATCTGGAGGGTGTGAGAAGTTTGCTACTCTGCTTCCTAAATTATGTTTTAAGTTGGGAATGACCTTAACATAGTCTCAGACAACTACTTTTGTCTCCTTTCTGTTTTTCCTACCTCTTCTCATCATTTGTCACAGGAGCATTTCAGTTGCCTGGAACATTACTTGTATACTGGGCAATATTATATGGAATGTACAGGGTACATGAATTCAATGGCAAAGTTATTTACCTAACTTCATTTCAGCTTATGTGTGTCTTCAATTATGTTAAATGGCCCTAAAAATAAGCAGATAACTTTTTCAATTTGGAACTGTACTTTTAAACTGATTTGCATCTGATAAAGTAGCATAACCTATCAGCGATCTAGTAAGAATCTAGTCTGCACAAGTGTCCTAAGTGATGACCATTTTAGTGGTGGGTTGGTGTCACTCAAGAAAAGGGGAAAAAAGAAAACGAACCACTTGGGCTTTTTGGTGAATAGTTTATTGTGAAATTTTATAGAGCATGTTTAATTCATATAGACTGTCTAAGGTGGCTTACTGGAAACATGGTTTAAAAGGAACCTTTGTTCCTTTTCTGGGTAGAAAAGGTGGCAGTGTTGTGGACACTGAAGTATTCTAATTGTGGTGACGTTTTAGTGTATAGATCCCAGTGGATGAGAGCTGAAATTTGTTTTAGGAAGTGGGGTGTTGGGGTTATACTGCGTCTACATATACTGGTCTGTTTCTGCTGTGAGACCATACAGAATGAATTTGTTTCTCTTCTACAAATATGTGAAGTGTTACTCAGTCCTGAATTTCAGTATCTAAAGCAAAACTTGGACTTCTAATCTTTTTTTTTTTCTTAAGATCTGGATTTATAATGAAGAGCATGAATTGGTTTTAAATAACCTTCTGTGTCTGGATATGTCAGAAACTCGCTCATCAGACCCACCGCGACTCATGAAATGCCACGGGTCAGGAGGATCCCAGCAGTGGACCTTTGGGGTGAGGACAAGGCCATGATGAGGGAATGTGGTGGGAGGACATTCTGCCGTAGGTGTGGTCGGGATATATTTCAAGATCCCTGTGAGATGCACGCAGAAAGCTGCAGATACCTGTGGTACTGAACCCTGTGTCTGTATGTTCCTATACAAGCATACTTATGCTAGTTTAATTTATAAATGAGATACAATAAGAGATTAATGCCAATTATAATAATTATAACAGTATATTATGATAAAAGTTACTTGAATGTGGTCTCTCCCAGAGTATCTTAGTGTACTGTACTGGAATAAGCCTCAGAAAACCAATCTTTGGGAGACGACTGTGTCCCATAATTAATTTTAATTGTCATTTTTAAATGCTCCCCATCTCTTCTGGATATCTGTCTCTGCCATATTTGCCAGTATGTTTTTAAAGTAAAAGCAAATAACTGGTGTTATTATTTTCTTGCTACCTTTTTTCCAGAAAAATAATCGGCTATATCAGGTGTCAGTTGGGCAATGTCTGAGAGCTGTGGATCCCCTGGGTCAGAGAGGTGCTGTTGCTATGGCGATCTGTGATGGTTCCTCCTCACAGCAGTGGCGGCTGGAAGGTTAAGGTGGGCGCTGTGGCTGTAGTGCTAGTTCATTAGGCTTTGTTTCCTCTGTAAGGTCTGGTGCTTTTCAAGGAAAGCTCTGGTTGAGTAGAGCCATCTTGAAGAGGATGACCATTTCTCTGTCCTCCTAGTCTTGGGCAGCAGAGGTGACACAGCAGATCTGAGCGAGGTGGGAGCACTGAGTGACTGAGGGAAGAGTGGGTTTCACCAAGACATTAAGATGTTTTCTGAGCTGCTATTTACAGAATTTGGTTATAGAGGGAGACCAGAACATACTTTTAACTCTGAAGACCTGGGTTTGTTTAGGACAAAACCCAGGACATGGACATTTCTATTCAGATTTATTTATGCCTCTTTGTAAATGTCCTTTAATGCTGGAATGGGTTTGTCTGATCAGGAACTTGTGATTTCCTTTCTTAGAAGACTTCATAGGAGACAATTTTTTTTTTTTTTTGTAAAAACTTCTATTGTCATTTGTTTAATATGTCCTAAATAGCTAATTTAAAAAACTGATTGAAGCCACATTATTTTTAGGTTCAGAGGGCATCATTTATAAAATAATATTTAAGAGGCAGTTAACTATTATAAATTATTTTGATGAATTATGGTCATATGTACATTGAAAATAAAGGATTCTTTTGATTAACTAGGATCTTTTGTCTTGTATGGGGGCCTCTGATCTGAGTTACTCTGTGTGCGTGATAGGGAATACTCCTGAATTCAACTGATGAGTCCCTAAGCGGAGGCCCCTCCCTTTACAGAAGCATCACAGTGTCTCAGCTTTAAGCTATGTGAATGTAGACACTTGCCATCAGGGAGAGCTGTTAAATTGGCAGTTGGGTATGGAGGTCAGAATCTTAGAAGATTTAGCTCAATTAGAGATAATAGATTTGGGACTCCCCTGTATATACTGTAAATTCCAAAATACAAGATGAATTTTCTCCCCAAATTACATACTAGAAAAGAAACAGTATTATAGTGTGGGGTGCTCACTCATTTATTTATTTATTTATTTTTATTTTTTGAGACAGAGACTCCAGCTGTTGCCCTGGATAGAGAGCCAGGCATCATACCTCACAGCAACCTCCAACTTGGCTTATGTGATCCTCTTGCCTCAGGTTTTTTATTTTTAGTAGAAATGGGGTCTCACTTTTTGCTCAGGCTGCTCTTGAACTCATGAGCTCAAGCAGTCCATCCACCTCAGCCTCCCAGAGTGTAGGATTGCCCCAGTCCACTCAGTTATTTCATCTTGAACCATAAAGCACCATAGTAGAAGATATATGATGTGTTCTAAGTATTTATCATTCAACTTTAGATGTACATATAAAAAATAAAAAGCAAGATAGATTTAAATCAGCAATACCAGTAATCACATTAACTGTATTGTAAATAGAGTCTAATTAGGTGCCCTGGTTAAAGGGCAGAGAGATTGTTAGTTTGAATAAAAATGTACTACCCAAATATATGCCGTCCCTAATGAACTCCTCACAGTATAAGTTGTCTGGGCATCATGGCTCACGCCTATAAATCTGAGCAGTTTCGGAGGCTGAGGGAGGATCACTAGAGCCCAGAAGTTCAAGGTTACAGTGAGCTATGATTAGGCCACTACACGTTAGCCTGGGCAACAGAGTGAGACCCTGTCTCAAAAAATAAAGATGAATGAGATAAAAATAAAAGGATAGGAAGGTATATGCATGCTTACCACTGATTGAAGGGCATCTGGGGTGCCCATGTTAATATCGGACAAAGTAGATTGGAGAGCAAAGAATGTTACTAGGGATGATAAAGAGGGTCATTTCATGATGAGAAAAGGTTCAGTGAGGGAAATAATCCCAACAGTGCTGTCAGTTTTTATAACATGAATTTTGAAGTTCTGTTAAAAGTGTAAGTGGACAAATCTACCATTACAGTAAGATACTTCAACACATCTCTCAGAGATTGATAGAATAAGTAGAAAAACAGGAGGGCTCGGCGCCTGTGGCTCAAGCGGCTAAGGCGCCAGCCACATACACCTAAGGTGGCGGGT